TAACTGATTTAAAATGATTAACTCAAATTGCAACAATTTCTACTTTTTTGATCGCAATTTAGTATTATTTTAAAAGTAATAAGATCATAAAGGATATTTCCATTCTCAGTATTTAAAAGTTTCAATTTCTTAAATGATTTATTTAGTTTAGAAATTCCAGCTTCTAATGAGAAAAGAAAAATGACTGGCAATCTAATTCGAATGCTACAAAAGTGAATTAAAATGATTTGCATTGCTAATTTTCGTAAGTATTCGTTTGCGAAAATTAAAATTAAAATGACATTTTAGAATTCTAAATTTTTGATAGCACACTCAGAGAAGCGTTAAATACCATTCATCAAAGGTATTGCTTGCTGAAATAAGCTTAGAAAAAATTAATCATTTTGAAATTTCATTCAAAATAACAAAAATGTTTATAAGGGACAATTTTTTGTTATTCGGTGATGCAATGATTCATATCGCAATGCTTAAATGTTATTTGTTAATCCAATCTAAAATTTTTGCAAAGATTTTTTTATTGAAATGAATTTGACTGAGTAATAATAAAATCTGTGAACAAATAGGAAAAAAAAGATCCACTTTTAAAGTTTGATATATTTTAATTATTTTTCAATTTAATTTTTAGAAAATTGATTCCTTTGACAAAAAAGGTGTTATTAATATCCTTTAATTTAACGCAGAAATTAATCCGCTAGCAATCAACAGAAATCAGGTCCAGCTAAAACGAATTACTTTAATTGACTTGAAAAATTAAAAAAATTTTTTTTTCACCTTATTTTATTATTCCTTCAAATAGATATCACTATATCTTATCAGTTTATCATTTCCGCCATATTAAATATGATTGGATTTGTTAAGTAATTTTATACTTGTGATGGAGTAGCTGTGATAGGATCCGCCATAACTGTCCATATAACACTTTCATCACAGCCAGGTGTTGTTAATGATCCTTCATACCTATAGAAATTTTCCCTACGTTCTGGAAGCAATGAATTAGCACTAAAACCTGGTACCACAAGCTCTGTCTCTGCAATTGAATATTTTCAAAAATTACATCATTCTTTTTATCATTAATTTTTTTGATTGTCACCTTTTTAAAGAAAATTTTTTTTTTCAAAAATAGAAAAAACAATTGCTAATTAACTATGCAGCAATTAAAATCAAATAAATATGTAAACACTGATATTAATTCTATTTGAATTTTCTTTTTTTTTTTTTAATCGAAAGAAATGAATTTACATGAGGACTAACTTGGCATTTTGATATTTTGAATATATGGTTTAAGCTTATGCAATGATCCAACATGATCATCAAGTCTTATAAATGCAGCAACAACAGCAATGGTATTTACTTCATCCGGTGATGGATTTTTTTTCACATGCACTAAGTGCAACTGAAACAAACAGATGTTTGCTAATATTTAATCGAATAATACAAAAACATTAATGCATAACATAAATGTAGAATTGTTGAAAAAAAAATTTTTTTTTTAATTGACTTTTTTCCTAGCATAATTCTAATTGAATTTTTTTCGCTTCTTTTTTCGTTTCTTTTTTTTTTTAAAATTGTTAACATTAATACAATTTACTTCAATAAAAATTTTAACAATTTAATTTGTTCAAATATTCTTAAATGGTAACAAAAATTTCAGGTAAATTTTAATAAATTGTAATTATAATTAATTAGTTAGGAAAATATTTTCAATTGTAAGAATAGTATTTGAAATTGAATATTGTTATTGAATAATCATTTGATATGACTTTTTTTTTCTTTTTCTTTTTTGTAATATCAGTAATTTCAAATAAATTTTAATAAATTGTAATTATAATTAGTGGGAAAAATATTTTCAACTACAAGAATAGTACTGAATTTCCGATAATCATTTTTTTTTCTTTTTCTTTTTTGTGATATCAATTAATGTTTACAGCAAGTAAGCGATAAATGAATGTTCGAGATAATTAACCTCGCCAGGATAATGCAACGATGCAATGGTATGCTCACTACCAGTATCATTTCTCTGCGACCAGTGAAAATGAAATTGTAACAATTGATAAGTACCATTGAGACCACCACCAGAAATATACGGCCGATCTTTACCCCATCTTTCAAAACCCGAACCAATCACTACAATTAAATTC